ACACTTTTTAATTATATGAAATAATAGATGCTAAATCACTGCAAAACAGAACACAAGCCAACAGGAAATGTAACACATTTTTGGACGCATTGTAAATGTTGACATTTTCTGGGCTTGCCTTAATAGATATGTAAATACATTTTCAAAAAACGGAGTAAAACCTTCTTGCTGAAAAGGTAATATATATATATATATAAATATAATATGATAAGAGAATACCTCAGAAACTACAAATTGCACAATCAGTATATACTGTCCTCGAAAACAAGTTGGATATCAAAGAAATGCACAATTGCTGTCAAAGACAATATCATATGAAATACATACAATGAAGTTTTCCTCTTTCCTGGTTATTGGTAAAAGTGTGTTGTTTTATGTCATCTAAAACTGTAAAGGTTTGGGTCAGTTCTGAGAGACTTAGATAAGATTTAGATTAGAAGTTTAATTCATGGAGTAACTGATACCATTTCTGCAGACTTCAGGAAGTCACTTCTAATGGAGATGTGTTTTTGAAGTAGTTTCTGCACCATGTAAACATCCCATGTCTTTAACTCTGGTTTTCTATGTCTGCACAAAGTCAGACTTGCATGTTGTGTATGTCATAGAGCAGGGGTCGGCAACAGGCGGACCGCGGTACGGACCCAGACGCCGACCTATACGGACCCGGACCTATAATCAATACATTAATAGGGGATTTCAATTTTGACGGGGCGATTCTATTTTAACCGCCGCCGACAGGGGACGAAAGAGACGAGTGAGCGATACAGGGAGAGAAACACAGAAGAAGAGACGAGATCGCGGCAGAGAGAAGCGGAGAGGAAAGTAAGTGAAGAGAATAATTAGCGATACAGGGAGAGAAGCGGAGAGGAGAGTGGACAAGCGTGTTAGCGACAGACAAATAATTACACATGGCACTCTCCAAGAAGAGGAAAGTGGACAGTGAGAACAGAGCTTTTAACCCTGAGTGGACGGACTCATTCATGTTCATCCTGCCCACTGGGAGCACAGAACCAGTGTGTCTCGTTTGTTCAGAGACCGTGGTGCTCATTAAAAGTGCCAAAACGCCACTATTCACATTCACACCGGAGTACTTTAGTTCCGTTAGTACCCCTTATGTTGCGTTCACACCAAAAAGGGTACTTAGTGCCGGGAACTTTTACCCCCATTTTTAGTGCCTGCTGAGAGGTGGTACTATCCTGGGGGGAAAAAGTGCCCCATTCCTGATTGGCTGGGCAAATTGCAAACCACGCTCCGTAAAACTCTGAAAAGTTTTGTGAAGCCGCCATTGTATTTGTGGCATTAGCATTATTAGCATTAGCCCCGCGCACCAACGGAGAGAGAATAACTTATGGCAACACAAAAAAAAACATGGGAGCGGTGGAGTGATGAGGAGGTGTCGGCGTTCTGGCGATTTACTCGGGGGACTTCCGGCCGGGGACTTCGGACGGCAGTATACATCGTGAAGTTGTTTGCGGCCTGCCAGTAAACCCAAAGCAGGAGAAGACGAAGTGACGTCAGCGGCTCATTTGCGCAATCTTCCCTCAGGGAAAAGTACTCCGGTGTGAACGCGATTGGTACTAGTGCCCTGGGGCACTAAGTACTGCAAAGTACGCGGTGTGAACGCGGCTTATGAGACAAAACACAAAGTGTTTGACTAAACATTCCCTCTCAAGTCAGAACTGAGTTCACAAAAAATAAGCAGTCTCAGAGCCCAATATGATCAGTCAAAACTAAATATCGTTCCAGGGCAGGCTAACCGAGGCTAACCAATGAGCACCTCATTTAAACTCCTGGCAGGACAAGCTCAAGCTCAATTCTCGCACTGAATTAAAAAAAAGTGAGTGAGGGACTGCAATATAAGAGGGAAAGAAAGATACACTTTAAACTGTTCAATTGTTATGATGTGTAAAGACTGATATTGTTCTATAATCGTCTGAAACTGTTAAGTCATGATGTAAAACGGTTAACAAAGAAAAAGGGAAACTCAAGCTGCTGCTACACTTTATTTTATGTATCTAAAATAAAGCACTTTTAAGATGCACATATTTTCAAAAGCTATTTTATTTATTGTCTCTATTTTATTTTTAAATGCAGCCCGAGAGGAACATTACACATATCCACAGTATTTACTGTATAGTTCAATGTTAATTGACAATAAATATTGTTATTTTTGAATTGTACTTTCTTTATTTGATTGGCAGTCAGTTGTTGATTACATGCAGACGTTGATAAAGCTACAGGCTACTTCAATATACAGTATATCACACTAATTCATAAAGCAAATTAGCCATTTTGATGTTCCGGACCTTTGCATGGGGAGATTTTCTCTAACTGGACGTCACCTCGTTGAATTTTAGTTGAATACCCCTGTCATAGAGCTTCCTCTGGTGGATTTATAGATATAGTTTTATAGAAGAGACATGTCTTTTTACACATGCAACAATCAAACTCAAACAATCAAACTCTCAAAGACCTATACTGTGTAGGAGATGTAGCAAACACGACATGACAGTATTACAATGTTATCATCCTTAGCTATATGAATGCTACATATAACTGATCTTGCACTTCCATTCTCGGTGTTTACTTCCTGCCACTTGACCCAAATAAGAATCAATAATTTCAATGACTTCCACTTTATGTGTCACTGTGCAGCTGCCGCCTTGATCGCTTTCTAGTTTCTATCCTTACAGTCGTGAAGTGCAATCTAATGTCGCCTCCTTGGCAGCATCCCCCCTCCTGCAAGGTTAAGGCAAGACATTGATTCATCCCAAATTGATTTTATTTTCCTTTCCCCTGCTTCAACCTATCAACCTACTTCACCTAGCATCGACAGCACCAGGGCTCACATTAAACTTGAACTTGAATCACGCTATGCTCGCCTTGTTGCTGGCAGTTCTTGAAAACCATTTCCATCTGCATACTCTTTTTCCAATCATGACACGGACTAAATTAAGCCAAAACAAATATCAAAATGCATTAAACAGCAGTGTCTACAAAGCATTGATAGCCAATGTGCAAACGTGGGTTTCAATGGGGAAAGTCTTATCAATGGTTTGTTAAAATTGGATGAGATGGGTTTGGAAAGATAAATAACATCTTTAGGAAAAATATACTTAAAAAAATAAAAAAGGTACTATTCTGCCTTTGCATTACAAACATATTTAGTTACAATTTACATTTTAAAAGGAAATAAAAGCCGTAAAAATGTATCAGTGTGCTTTTTTTCAATCTTTCTGTGTTAAAGTTTGTCAAGAAGACTACATTTACATTCCTAATTTTCTGTTCTTATCCTCATCTCATACCACTCAACAAAACAGCAACCGCTAAACTTCCACTGACATTGTTTTAATAGCCAGCAGGGGGTGACTCCACTGGTTGCAAATAGAATGCAGATTCTCGAGAAGTCTATGACAAAAATGACCCTTGTTCTAACTTTATTACATTTTAAACATATTCCTAATGAGTTTATGATCATAATCACTAGTTTCAAGTCCACTTAAATACATTATGATTATGATTATTATATCATTTTGTAAATGTTGATCGCATTGGGAGTAAAATAAACGATAAAGCAGGTTAGGTGCATTAGGGCATGGCTACCTTGTGATTGAGAGTTTGCTTCCATGTTTTTCTTTTGGTTTTCAGTCTTTTAATTTTACAACTTTAATTCTTTACTTTTGTTTTCAGTACATGAAAGTTAAGTGCACATTTTATTCACGCCTAGAAATGCGATATTTTGCATTCAGTTGTACTTAGCTTCATACAAAAAAACAAACAAGATGTCTTATATACATTTTATGCAATAAAAAAAAAAGTGTTGCGTTGTATTGTCACATTATTTTAACCTTTGCTGTCTTTACATGAGAATAATCCCCAAAAGGATATAAAGTACATATCCAAGCAATCTTTTCATGGATGTAGATTTTATTGTATTTAATCAAAAATGATATAGTGTCCGTCCAAGCGTGACTTGTTGGGAGCATCTGTTCTGTCCAGTTGCAATTAATCTGTAAAAACATACAGGAAGTCATAGAGGTCACCGTGCCGAGGTCAAGTCAAACATATACACATTTTTGCACATAAAAAATCAACTTGCTGGTCACTTATTCACTTTAATTGGCAGGGCTGAGGGGAGAGAAAATAAACACTTTGTAACCATCTGTGTAACCATCTGTGTCTCCAGGAAAATCACTGGGAAACTTACTGAGTCATCTATTTATTCCACTCTGCCGTCTGTCTGCCCTTTATTTTAAATTACATTTTTCTTTGCTTTTTACACCTGTCTTATAAACAGACAATTCAGTACTGTACATTATAATACTTTGGTAACACTTTCTATGGTGCCCATTTCTATAATGCATTATAAACATACTCAATATGTTTAGCCCGTAAAAGTGTCTTTGAGTATCTTGAAAAGCACACTATAAATGAAATGTATTATATTGCTATTATTATTGTAATGCATCAAAATATGCTCATAGCACTGTATACGTATTTATTAATGATGCATTATAGTAATCACAACAAATTGCTAAGCATATTTTAGTAATACTTATTATGTAATGCTTAAAGCATTAACCTTCATTGTCACACGCTGACTGATTGTGTTTAAGATTTCCTTTAGTTTTAATATATTATGATTGTCTTATAATACATTATAAATCTGATGTAATGCACTGCATTGCGATTCTAACTCTAAACTGCCATTGCATTTATCATTGGAAATGATTAAAACAATGTGTAATAAGGTGCCATAATCAGATTAAGACCCTGTTTTTGTATTTTCATAATGCATTATCCACATTGGTGCCAAAGAAAGTGTTATCAATACCCGGTACATTAACAAATGCTGTGCTGATATCTTGAATGTTGTGTTTTCAGTTGTACACATTATCTTTGGCACAATGCGTAACATCTAAGTGATAGTTAGCATGTTCATTTACAACATGTTGCTGCAGGTTTACTGTCCAGCAGAACAACAACAGGTCCATGGCAATTCAGCTTGGCTCACTCGGGATACCATTTATCTCCTGTGGAGTGACCGTCTTTGCATCAGTTCCATTATTATCCATGTTTTTATGTTTCTCAGACTGTTGGGAGACCATTTGTTCGTTAGTAAAGGTCAATCGTTTATGAATTGACACATGAGTGAGCTGCAGTTTTCTGCGAAACGACCCTCTGCAGCGAAGCAGCTCTGCGTAGGCCTTGCGGAAATCCCTGTTGAAGGCTGGATACAGGATTGGGTTAAGAGCCGAGTTAAAATAGCCCAGCCACAGGACCACAGAGTTAAGAGTATTAGGGGGGTTTGTATTTTCCTTTATGCCCATGCAGGTGAATAAGGTGAAGTAGGGGAACCAGCAGATGACAAAACCCCCCAGAACAGCTACCAATGTCACTGTAGCTTTGTGCTCCCGAGCTATGGCTGCATTTGATGCGGAGCGTGCAAACGACGGAGTGGCAGCACGAATTCGCTTCACCTGAAAAGAGCCGTAAAGCAAAGGTTAGAGACACAGAAAATGAAAGAAGTTCCATCATCAACAAGTGAATGTGACTGAATGCTATTCTTTTATATGTCCTTTCCACTAAAATGACATTCACTAAAAGAAAATCATATTTTGTATCGATTTCCTTAGACGGATACAAAAAGTGACCTTTCACATTGCGCCTGTGCATGTTTTACAGAATAAAAAACAAAACACTGACCTGTTCTCGTGCCACTCTGAATATGCAAAGATACATTCCGCACATAAGCAGCAGAGGCAGGTAAAATGTGCCAAAGGTATAAATGAGAACGTAGTTGTTATTCCATTCAAACTGGCAGTAGTATCCCTCTTTGTCCTCCCCCATGCCCCAGTCCGAGTGCTGCACTCTATAGTCTGCTGTGTTCCAGCCCAGGTGGATGGACACAAAGGACACTGCTAGTGACAAAGCCCAGATGGTGATCAAGGCCAGTGTCACCCTCAGACGGGTAACTCTCCGGGAGTAGCTAAGGGGAGCTGTAATGGCTAAGTATCGGTCCACACTGATGGCCATCAGGGTGAGGATTGAGGATGCACAGAGCAGCACATCCAGAGAGATGTAGATGTTACACAGAGCTCCTCCGAGGGGCCATTTCCCGCTGCGCAGCTCCACGCTGGCAGAAAAGGGCAACACCAGCAGGCCTAGCATCAGATCCGTCACCGCCAGGGACACAACGAAGCAGTTAGCGATGCGCCACAGTCGACGGCTGAGTCCCACAGCCAAACACACCAGCATGTTCCCACCGACGGTCAGAATGATGAAAGTCACCAGAACGAGCGAGCGGAAAGCCATGGAGATCATGGTCACCTCCACTCCTTAAACACAGTGCTGTGGTTCGTTCGCTCAGGAAACGGGCTCACCAAGGACAGGTTACTTTTCCATCAGACACCTTTCTACATGGCTCCTTTGTTTGAAGGTATTCAGGATCAGTAGTAGATCATTGAGTGTAAAGCACTTCAAAGCCATGTGTTTTCCCACAGTCCCAGGGCTGTTAACACTTTCCTGGTGATAAAAAAGAACAGTGGTTATTAATTAAAAAAAATCACGTCATAATATAGATACATTTTAATAATTGTGAATTTCAAAGTTAAGCATGTTTATCGTTCTTAGTTCATGGATCGCATTTAATAATAATCTAAAAGGAAATCATGCTTAAAATAATGTATTGACGTACATATGCGTCAGACAAAATGCATGCAAAAAAATGATACGAGTGTGCTTGCTTTGTAATTGTTACAGATGTCTAAACTGTTTGTATACATCCCTACATCTAGAAAAGATGACTTGTCTAACTTAAGGTGGTGTTGTGTAGTTTAGCTTTCTTTAAACCCAATCTTTACCATCCCTGCTACTCTTTCGGTAACTATATCCCAATTCGACCACCTTCCGAACAGACACCATACAGGTGCGTATAAATCCATTCCATCAAGGAAATAATGAAAACAAAAAAGTTAACTTGCAGAGGAACGCTGGGTAAAATCCTAAGAATAAACATTATCATTTATAATAATTTGCATATTCAAACATAAGCAACATCAGTAGTACAATCCATTATTGTTTAACCAGATTCACAAAATCTCAGTTTTCCTCATTTAATGACAATGCTGATGTTTAGGCTTTGGTTGACATCTTAAAAGGTCTCATGTCATGCTTTTCCAGTTATTACCCATCCCCTTGTGTGTTATGAAGGTTGTTCTGCATGTAAACGGTCTGCAAAGTCACCAACCCTCAAAGTACACCCTGTAGCGAGTAAAACTCCAACACAGAAAAGACCTGTCTATGCTGCCCCAGAACGCCTCGTTGGAGATTTCTCTTTTCTTCCTGGATAGTTACAGTTCATAATTACACTCATGTAACTTTACTACCACAAATTAAAGATATTTTACATATGATTCATGATTTAGCCTAAGGGGGGGGCAGGAGCTCCAACAAGCCGTTTAGGACAGAGTGAATACACATACTATACAGAGATGCTGTATGAGAAACCAATGTGAGTTTGGAAAATTGCACAATGTACATCTATTATAGTAGACCTCAACAATGGAATTATGATCAGTAGAAATGGCCATGACATGGGACCTTTAAGAGTTATATACTAAAGCCCCTAAACCAGGGGTCCCCAAACTTTTTCCTGTGAGGGCCACATCACTTTTCCCTTCTCTGATGGGGGCCGGGTCAGTTTGTAACAGAAAAAGTGTGACGATCGCATGGGTGTCTAAACGTAAACATTTATTGTTTTCTAGAAAGCCACACATAACCAAATATTAATAACCCTTTCCGGGATCTTCACAGAAAAAAAGTCAGGAAATAAATAATAACACTATTAATGAAATAAATAACACTATTTATGAAATAAATAATAACCAAATAACCCTCTCTGGGTTCTTCACAGAAAAAAGTCCATTGAAAATTACTGTAACTTTCTGTTGTGCTGTGCACAATCTTAACAGGTAAAAGTTTAGCTTAGTTGTCAGAGCAGAATCTCTCAAAATAAACGTGGATTTACGTAAAAAAAACTATTTTTTCGGGGTTCGGGTGTTTTGTTTGATTTTAAACAAACAAAGTCTTGGCTTTCAGAATATGAAACTTTTATTTCCTATTTATTTCTCACTCGCAATCTGCTCTTCCGCAGCGCCGCCCCCCCCCCCTCACTCCGCTGAAATTATGAATGTAAGAGTATAGTAATCATAGATAACACTGCAGGGTCCGTTACAGTTTGTTTTCATCTGATTTCAATTAAACAAAGTCTTGGCTTTCAGAATATTAAACTTGTTTCGGCAAATTCAGATGATAAATACAACTTTGAAGCTTCGGCATAATTACAAGCGGAGAACGGCAGGCATAACAACAGCCGGTGTTTCTCGTGAGTGTTTTCCCCGGGAAACAAACACAATACACACAAACGCAAAATTACACAAGCACACACACTCACACGCACACGTATACACACACACTCGCGAGCTTCCCCTCCAAACGAAAATATCTTCCCTCGGTAGTATTTTGATCATTTGCTCCGCTAATAATGAATCGGATCGATCAGATCGATGGATTCCAGAGAAGAGACAACTTTGAAGGCCTTTTTCTCAAAATGATGACTCGGTGACAGTCATTATATAATGTGACATATTTCGCTTAATATTTGAAGTACAAAAACAATCTTGATATCATTAGAAAGCTAAGAATATCCTCTTTCCAACAGTGTATACAACTCAAAAGGTGTCTTCGGGTCAATGCGACTGATTTCGATAGAGCAGGTCACAACATTTTGACAGGGGCTAGTCTAGGATTTGCGTGGCAAGACTGAAAAAAAAAAAAAAAAATAATAAAAAAAAAAAAAAAAAATCATAATGCGTCTCTGGTATTGTTCAGGGGGCCGGGCCAAATGTGGAGGTGGGCCGTACCCGGCCCGCGGGCCTTAGTTTGGGGACCACTGCCCTAAACTGACAAAACTGACAGTCTTATGAACAATACAGAGGGACTAGTTTTGGTTCTAAACGTGATATCTGCAGGATTTAGGCTGTCCTACACAGGAACACTGATCATTGGTATAACAAGAGATAAAGGGAATAGGCCTCAATATAAACATATAATGAGGTTGTGGAGCTCTTTCCTATAAAAGGAAACATTTAAAAGAGACAAAGAGAGATACAGCATATCAAGCAAGTGTGGGCTGTATATTGCATCACTCTCAGGCTAATTCAAGACAAGATCTTAAAAAACGATAAAACATTCTGCCAAAGTCTTAGGAGTAAAGTTAACAAGAGAAACCATTAGCTACTTTTGGAATGTTAAGGAGATGCATTTATATTTTCCCTGATGACTTTGCATCCACAAATAAAGCCATTCTCTATTTACGATAAACCCGTTGAATATTAAAGTATGTATACAAGAGTAAAATAAGATCCATCTGGAGCACCAAACTGGCGTTTTACTCTGAGGTGAAAGCTCTAGCTGTCTTGCTTTACAGGGAAGCTTTGCTATTTCATTTTTAAATTAGAAATGCATCTAAAAATAACAAATCCTTTTAACAAGTGCAACCTCAAACGGAAACTTTTAACAACAGCAGGAATTATGTTTTATGATATTAATCCAATATGTTTGTTTATATTTCACACGTTGCTCTTGCATCACCAGCATGCATTACATGTCATCTGTGGAAATGTTTCAAGAAACCTTAAGGGTTACTTTGGTATATTGTCATATTAATTTAGATACTATTGTTTGTTTTAGGTTTCTATTGCTTGTTCTTATTCAGGGTATATGCAGGAATCCTGATGTCAAATGTAATACCTTTTAAGACCTTTTTTAAGACCCTTTCCATACATTTTAAGACCTCATCGCAACTTCGAGTTCTAACCGGTTACATTGGCGACACACTTTACCTCACATTTACTATATTGATTGTAAGATAGCACAGCTAAACAGAGTGCAGACAGACTACTGAAGCCTCCACTCCACATGAACTTCAACCTATCTGTGAAGGTCAGGTTTAATGCAGTATGCTGCTTTGTTGCTTCTGTACTCTGTGCTCTTTCATTCCAGTAGAACTCCTCAGAAACCAGTAGAAACCAGTATTTGACCAATAAACAAAACAATTGACAAAACTTTGAACTATGAAATATATTAAACTTTGGTGAGCTTCAGCGGGGTAATGCCATATAGGAGCTCCCTCACAAATACCCAGGGGTTAAATTGGGCTGGGGCTGTCCGGGGCTAAGCCCGGCACATAGGACGATGCTCTGACGTCATCACCCTCACACATTTGTCATATGTTTACAAAAAACGATATATATGTTAAGACTTTTCTCGTTCTTAATATAGACTATATTTAGGGTCGATATGTGTTGACCTTACTTTAAAATAGCAGATCTCTGTGACCGGATATAGTTTGGCTTAGACCCCGGCCCCACGAGGACGCATACAGTAAAACGCATACGCAAACGCAAAAAAGTCTTCCGTTCACACGCATTCGATTCATTAACGTGTCCGTTCACACTAGACCGCTGGAAATGCTGGAAACGCTGTAGTACATATGCCAGGCCTGTAAGTGGCGCTGCTGCCGCCACAACATACACCAAAAGCAGCGAAGAAGACCCAGGAGCATGGTTGTCATGGTTGCCTTTCTGTTTATTCTCCGCGGTGGACGGCGTGTTCTCCTGCTGTATATCTCTCAGGTAGTCCACGACGCCATCTGCGATCGATTAACTTGTGGACAATGATCCCTCGCTCCCTTGCCTCCTTCTGGCTTGTTAAGTGGCCTGCCTCACACAGGGTGACTGGCTGTCCCACATGATGGGGCCTGCCGACATGGCCACTGTCATACAGATCATAAATCAAAGCCCTTGATTGGTCTCTGTGTGTCATTCAAGCTCGGGATAACCTCAGCTCAGGTGAGGTAAAGGACTCTGAGTGTTTAGATAGTTAACTTAGTCTAAGTTCTCAGTGGGTCTCAAACGATGTGGTCTCCATTTATGTAAACACTAGGGATGTGCATCTCCATCACTGAGGCCGATGCGATGCGCATCTCGATACGTTGCCACGATACGATACATTAACGATACATTTGAAACACTAGGCGATGCGATACGATACAATTCACCCCTGTTGCGATACAGTTCGATACGATTTGATTCAACATTATGCGATTTGGTGCGATACGATGCGATTCAACACGATGCAAAAATAATGATACTTCAATATGGTACGACAGAGGATTTTTGTTTTATTCCTTATATGCAGCAAATCATACATTAACAAAAAAGTGCTTTACATATTTGGTACTGCACATCCCATCATGCCGTTTATTTTTTTGCCTTTAAAAGCTCTCCAGAGTACAATTCTATAACACCTCACAGTCCACATCCAACAATGTAAGGATGCATTGCTCATGATTAACAATGTGAAAATAACAGCTACCATAGTGCAA